TTATTTCTTAAATCACCCGCCATTTTAAATTTATGTTTATTGTTGTTTGTTGTTTGTTGTTTATGGTTTGTGGTTTGTGGTTTGTTGTTTTGGTGTCAAGATTTTTTGTGCATTATTTTTTTAAAAGAGTTTAAAGTCTTTTTTTATTTATTTTATTTTCAATTTTTTAAATTTTTTTTATTGTTGGTTTGTTGTTTTTTTGTTTTTTGTCTAATTACTTATAACCATACACAATAATTTCATAATATTCAACTTAATAATATAAAAAAAAAAAAAGCATAACGTGCTGAAGCACTGCTCAACTTTTTAAATATATAAATTATTGTTATTGTTTTTTCTTCTCGTAAGAAGTATTTTGCCTTATCTTCAAACGAAGTGGTTTTCTATTTATTTTTAAATTGCTTTTTCCTTTCTCTTTTTTTTTTTTTTATATTATTATATAAAATCATATTATGATTATTAATATTTTTTATTTCTCAGAGGGTAAAGATTAATCAATCAGCAAATTCAAGATTTTTTATTTAAGAAAAAAAAAAAAAAAAAAAAAAAAAAGAAACCATACAGAAATATTATAACAGTTCCAATAAATTCAATGAATAGGGGTATATCAAGAAATGCTTCAGTTTTAGAATATCGACCTTTTAAATGGGAAGATTTACCTCAACTTAAAATCTTACAGGTGGGTTTATACTTTTTTTCTCCTCAGCACGTGGTAACATTACAGCATTTCACTGACACTTTTTTTCTTTTTTTTTTAGAATCACTTATTTCCTGTACAATATTTTGATAGTTTTTACAAAAGGTTATTAGGAGGCTCTTATGTCTCAATTTTATTATGGCAAAAGATTAATAACTTACCAAATACTCATAATATAGAAATAGTTGATAGCGGTATAAATGTTAGCAGCAATAATAATAATAATAGTAATAATATAGGAGTAGATAATGATACAAAATCAACAATAAACAATAGTAGTAGTAATGACTCATTCATAGAGTTTAAAGAGAATAGTCAAGTAATAGAGAAATCATTTTTAAAAAATGATTATTTTGATAGAAAGCAATATGAATTAATAGGGGTAGCTACAGGAAGAGTTTCAAAAGACGATTCAATATGTTCATTATTTTATCAGAGACACGAGGGCTATTTAATGACATTCGGTATTAAAGAGCAATATAGAACTAGAGGGATGGGAACTGAATTATTAAATGTAACTTATTTAATAATAAAGATAATAATAATAATAATAATAAAAAACAATACTAATTTTAATTTATTTATTTAATAAAGAATATTTGTAAAGTTTTTCAAAAAAGAGGATGTGAAAGAGTACATTTACATGTTAAAAAAGGAAATAGCGCAGCATATTCATTTTATATAAAAAATGGGTTCAGATTTAATCAAGAAATTGCAAACTACTATAAAATTGATAATGTTCACTATAATGCATCCAATATGACCAAAGATTTAAAACCAAAAGAAAAAAAAAGTAATTGGCAAAAATTTTTATTACTACTTCAACAACCAGATTATATAAATATAGGTGAAGACGAAGAAGATATAGAAGATGAAAATGGTATAATAAGTGCTAATAGTGTTGGTTCTACAAGTAGTCTCAGCAAAAGATTTAATTTCATTTTAATTATAATTTTAATATTATTTTTAATATTTATTTTATTTTTAATCAGTAAAAATGATAATAATAATAATTTAAATATTAGCACCAAATAACAATAAAATTAAATAATAGTATAGACAATATATAAATAACGATAATAGGGAAAATAAATACCCTCCCAACAAGGTTATAAAACCTGTCATAAACGACCCCAATTTTTTATTTTATTTTTTTATTTTTTATTTTTAAAAAAAAAAATAACCAAATCTTAAAATTAATAAAATAAAATAATTAATAAACTATAAAGAATTTATTATTCTTTATTTTATAATCATTCTTCTATGATTTATACTAGATTCTTAAAACATTAACAAAATAATAAATTTAATTTTATTTTATTTTTTAAAATTATTTTTTTTTATTTTCATATTCAAAATTTTTTTTTTTAATTTTAAAATTTTTTTTTCAAAATTTTTTAATTTTTTATTTTATAGCATCTCGCTTATTTAATTATTTATTTATATATTTGTTTATTTTTATATTTATTTATTTATTTACAAGCATAAAATAATATTAATAATATAAAAATATAAATAATAAATTATAATAAAATGAAAACTAGATTTTCATCTATCGATATTAGAACTACTGTGTTCAATTTACAAAAATCTTTAATTGGCCTCAGATTAGCAAATCTTTATGATCTTAGTCCTAGAGTATTTTTATTAAAATTTTCAAGACCAGATTTCAAAAAGAATTTAATCATTGAATCTGGTATTCGTATTCATAGTACAAACTTTATTCGTGATAAAGGAGATCATACACCAGCCCCATTTTCTTTAACTGTAAGTAAACAACATTGCCTATTAAAAAAGAAGAAATATTTAAAAAAATATTAATAATATATTGTTTTTTATAAATATTATAGTTAAGAAAATATTTAAAAACCAAAAGATTAGAAAGTGTTAAACAATTAGGTGTTGATAGAGTTGTAGATTTTACATTTGGTTCAGGTGTTGCAGTACAACATTTAATTATCGAACTTTATTCAATTGGTAATATTATTTTAACAGATGGCGATTATAGAATTTTAGCAATTCTCCGTACACATCAATACAATCAAGATGAAAGTGTTGCTGTTGGTGATGTCTATCCAGTTAATAAAGCAAAGAAACCAACTGAATTTACAACCGAATTAATTGATTCAATCATCGAAAATACTCAAGATAAAAAAGAAACTTTAAAACAAGTATTTAATAAATCATTAGATTTTGGTCCAGAGTTAATTGAACATTGCATCTTATCAGCTGGTTTACAACCATCATTAAAACTAGAGCAATATGATCACTCTGTTAGTAGTCAAGCTTTAATTAGTGCTTTCAAAGAAGGACAAAAAATTTATGATCAATCAGTTGCATCAAAAGGTTATATTGTATTAAAAGATCCAAAACAACAAAAACCACAACAACAAAAGAAACAACAACAACAAACTTCCACTACAGCTGAACCACCAAAAGAAATTGTAATGTATGAAGAATTTGTACCATTTTTATATAAACAATACGAATCAAAGAAATATATTGAATATGATTCATTTGATGGTGCTGTAGATCAATTCTTTTCTGAAATCGAATCTCAAAAATTAGAACAACAAAGAATTCAACAAGAACAAACTGTATTAAAGAAATTAGATAAAGTTAAAGAGGATCAGCAAAGAAGAATTGATAGTTTATTTGCAAATGAAGCAGAGAATGTAAGAAAAGCTGAATTAATCGAAGCCAATCTTCAAGAGGTAGATCAATGTATTTTAATTATTCGTAGTGGTGTCGCAAACTCAATGAATTGGGATACTCTTAATCAATTGCTCAAGGAGGAGAAAAAGAAGAATCCATATTCAGTAGCAACTAAAATTCAACGTTTAAAATTAGAATCCAATCAAATTACTTTAGCTTTAACCGATGGCTTTTTATATGACGATGATGAAGAGGGTAGCGATGAGGATAACAGTGACAATGAAAGCGAAGATGACGATAGCGAAGAAAAAGAATCAAGCAAAAAGAAAGTCAATAAAACTAATAAAAAACCAACTTTAATTGATGTCGATATCAGTTTATCAGCCTTTGCCAATGCTAGAAAATACTATGACACTAAAAAGCAATCACATGAAAAAGCACAAAAAACTATTTCTCAAGCTGAATTTGCTTTAAAAGCTGCCGAAAGCAAAACCCGTCAACAATTATCCGAAGTTAAATCAAAACATTCAATGATCCAAATGAGAAAGGTATTTTGGTTTGAAAAGTTCCATTGGTTTATTAGCTCTGATAACTATATTGTAGTAAGTGGTAGAGATGCTCAACAAAATGAACTTTTATTCAAAAAGTATTTAGAAAAAGATGATGTCTATGTTCATGCTGATATTTTTGGTTCAACAAGTTGTGTTATTAAAAATCCAAATGGTGGTGAAATTCCACCAAATACCTTAATTCAAGCTGGTACAATGACAATGTGTTACAGTAATGCTTGGTCTGCTAAAGTCGTTACTAGTGCCTATTGGGTATACTCTCACCAAGTTTCAAAGACTGCTCCTTCAGGTGAATATCTCACAACAGGTAGTTTTATGATTAGAGGTAAAAAGAACTATTTACCACATTCACAATTGGTTATGGGCTTTGGTTTTATGTTCAAGATTGATGAATCTTGTATTGGTAACCATTTAAATGAAAGAAAACCATTACTCTCTGGCTCAAATAATCACGAAGATGACGGTGATGCTTCAAATAACTCTTCTGAAATTGTTACTACCAATGACGATGAAAAGCATTTAAGAAAATTCGAAAGAACCAAATTAAAAAAAGAACAAAAAGAAATGAAAGAATTGGAAGAATTAACAAAATTAGAAATTAAAGAAGGTGGTGGTGATATTGAAGAGGAAGAGGAAAAGGAAGAGGAAGAAATCGTCAAACCAGCACCAACTACAAAAACTGCAACCAAACCATCAACTAATGACAAATATAAAATTCAATTGGTTTCTAGTTTCAAAGATGGATTTGGTGGTGATGATGAAGATAATGAAGATGATGAAGATGAAGATAATAAGGATGATGATAGTAAAGGTAGATCGAAAGGTTATATTTCAGCTCACCAAAGAAAATTAATGAAAAAAGGTATTTCATTAGAAGAGGCCGAAACCTTGGTAAAAGAAAAGAAAGAGAAAGAAAAAGAAAATGAGCCTGAAGAAAAACAAGAAAAGCAAGAAAAAAAACCAAAGAATGAACCACAAAAACATTTGTTACCAAGTCAAAAGAATAAGTTAAAGAAAATTAAAGAAAAATATGGTCATCAAGATGAGGAAGAAAGAATAGAAAGAATGGAAATTTTAGGTTCAGCAGGTCAAAAGAAAGAAAAAAAGAAAGACAAAAAAGGCAAAAAAGGTAGTAATAATAATCAACAACAACAAAAGGGTGGTAAAACTAATCAACAACAAAAAGACAATAAATCAAATAACAATAAAAAAGAAGACCAAGATAAACAGAAACAAGTCGAAGATATCATTAAATTAAAAGAAGAAGAAAAGAAATCGACCAATACTACCGAAACCACAACCACAACCAAAGTTGAAAAAGTTGAAAAAGTTGAAAATGAAAATATTGAAGATATTGTCGAAAAAGAAGACGATGAATCAAATGATGAATCATCTTCAGATGATGAAAATAAAGAAGAAAGTGAAGAAGCCAAAGAATTAAAAAGAAAATCAAGAAAGGAGAAAAGAGAAGCCAAACTTAAAGAACAAGAAGAAATTAAAAAATTATTAGAGGAAGAAAACACAAGTAAAGCAGTCGATGATCAAACCATTTCAAATATTGATACATTAACAGGTCAACCAAGAGATGATGATATTCTTCATTTTGCTATTCCAGTTGTTGCTCCATACTCTGTATTCAACAATTATAAATTTAAAGTTAAATTAACACCAGGTCATCTTAAAAGAGGTAAAGCTGCTAAACAAGCTGCTCAAGTTATCCTTCAAAGTTCAATCATCAACAAACGTGAAAAGGAACTCATTAAAAATATTAAAGATGAAGATTTAACTTCAAATATGTTGGCTGATGTTAAATTACACGCTCCAAACTTATTACAAACTCAAAAGAAAGAAAAGAAGGAAAGAAAAGAAAGAGCCAAAGAGAAAGCAAACGAATTAAAAGAATCATATAAAGATAAAGATATTTCCAAGATCAATAATAATAATAATAATCAAAAAGAAAAAGAAAAAGAAAAAGAAAAAAAATAAAAATGGTAGTAACTATATAATTTATAAACTTAGGTTTTTTTTTCCAATATATTTTTTTTCTCTTTATTTCTTTATTTTTAAATATTTTTATTTTAATTATTTGTATTTATCGAAAAAGAAAATATTTATTTGTTTTTGAATGTAGTATGTAAAAAAAAATTTAAAAAAAAAAGATTACTTCATGTGGGTGTGTGTGTTAACTGTTTATTATAATAATAATACAAACAAAATTATGTATTGTGAACCCCCACCAAAATTTATATTTTTTTTAATTATTATTATTATTATTTTTTTTTTTTGTATGTTATCCGAATTAAAAAATTATTTTCTTTATTTTTTTTTTTTCATGATTTGTATATCAAATAATAAAAATAATAGTTTTCTTGTTTAATAACTATAAAATATTCCCAACCATCTTAATCCAATTATTATAAAGATTCCAAAAAAAAAAAAATAAAAATAAAAAATTTAAAAATAATTATTTAAAAAACTATTTTTTTTTTTTTTTTTTTCAAAATTTTATTAAAAAAATCCAAAAACCTTTTCTTTTGTTTTATAATCATAACAATTGTAATTTTAGTAAAATATTTTAAAAGAAAACTAATTAATTGGATATTAATATCTTAATAATTAATATACTTTATTAATAAAATATCCATCCAAAAATAAAATAATAGAAAACTTCTGATTATAGAAAATAAATCAAAATTAAATATTTTTTTTCATCCAACCAAATATTATAATTAAATAATAAAATAAATAATAAAATAAATAATAAAATAAATAATAAAAATCATAACAATAAAGGAAAACTTAATAATAATAGATAGTAAATAATGGGTAATAATATTTCGCAAAAAGCTAGAGATAGAATTTATTTATGTAAAGAAAATAATGGTAAAGATTTAAATTTATCACAATGTAATATTAAAAGAATACCAAGAAGAATTTTAAAGTTTAAAAAGAGTTTAAAGGATTTAAATGTTGGAAAGAATAATATAACAGAATTTTATAAACAAGTTGAAAAGCTTACAGGTTTAGAAAAATTAATTGCAGATTCCAACGAACTAAAAGAGATTTGCCCCAATTTATCAAAGTTAGAATTCCTTGTGTATTTGGATGTATCAAACAATATCCTTTCAAGTGTGCCAAATAATTTAAAGGCATTGACTGTATTGAATATCTCTTACAACTCAATTCAAAGTTTTGGAAATGTTGCTATTGTATTACCAGCTCTTCAAGAATTAATCTACACACACAACAAGGTATCAATTTTCCCAACAGAGATTTTAGAACTTCGTACACTTCGTGTATTGAATTTAGCTGGTAATCGTTTGAACTATCTTCCTGACGAAATTTCACATCTAGCTGGCTCTTTAGAAGAACTAAACCTTTCAGAGAATGTTTTCACATCCTTCCCAACACCAATTGCCTCTCTAACAAATCTTCGTTTCTTAAGTTTATCAAATAATAATCTTGGCACTCTTAGTAATCATTTCACCACTCTTTCTAAATTGGAGACTATTGACTTTAGTGGTTGCTCTTTGACTGCTTTCGACTTTGACCTTTCTCAATTAAGTAATTTAGCCGAAATCTATCTCTCAAATAATAGAATTCCTCAATTTAGTTTAACCACATCTCTTTCTTTTTCCAGTCTTGTAAATTCTTTAAGAATTTTAGATTTATCAAATGGTTGTTTCACTGCAATTCCAAAACAAATTGGTTGGTGTAGAAATCTTAGAAGATTAATGTTGGCACAAAATCAAATTACTAAAATTCCAGGTGAATTATTTTTATTAAATCCTTCAAGTGATATCATTTTAACCCAAAATCCATTAGAAGTAAGTATTGTTATTATTATTATTATTAATTTTTAAAATATAGATGTTAATATTTATTTGTTATATAGTACCCATTAGGTGAATGGATAAAAGAAGGTATACCAACATTTTTAAGAAATTTAAAACCATACATGAAATGTTATGGTCCAAATTGTTCAGTTTCAGGTTTAGAACCAAATCTAAAAGCAATGGCACCAAATCAATTTAATATTGATGCTTTTGATTATGATAATCAACCAAGAATTAGTGGCGGTGATGAATTTAAAGTTCAAATGTTATTAAATGGCACAGATGATGTTATTCCAGACGAAAACTCTGCTTATCCAATGAGAAACTCTTTATTCTTTAAGAATATCGAATGCGTTGTCAAAGATAATAAATCAACTAAACCAGGCACCTATACTGTTTACTTCAATTCCCCACAAACAGGTACCTATACTGTCAACATTACCTCTGACAATTTACCAATTAAAGGTTCACCATTTACAATCGAATTAAGTTAAATTAATAAAATTGTTATGGTTGAAAAAAAAAGAAAAAAAAAAACAAATAAATTTTATAAAAACTTTTTATTTTTTTAATAATATTAGAAACTATTTTTATTTTATTTTTTTAAATCTATAGATTTGTTTATTATTTATAACACTATATTTTTATTTAGTTAAAGGTGATATATAATGAAAATATTTGTATTTTATAAATTTTTAAAAAGTATTATCTTTTCCATTATTTTCTATAATACTGGCACCATCATTAATAACCGAGCCACTTGGTAGATACTCCTCCATTTCTGTAGAACCGATATCAAAGTCGTAAAATTGATCATTTTGATTGTTATTATTATTTGTTGTTTTATATGAGCTTTTTAAAGACTGATATGTTTCTATTATAACATCGTTCTGATTGATTGTATTAATTATATTATTAATAAAACTATTTTTTTTTATTTTATAAAGTAAAGGATCTACCATTGATAAAACCCTATAGAATTCATAGGGATAGGAATAAATATGTAAAATAGAAACTAAAAACAATTCGAATATTATTAACTGGTTCTATATAAAAAAATTAAAAAAAAATTAATAATAAATTAATTTTATATTAAAAATATTATAAATATATACTTTTATTAAATCTACCAAATCTTCATTAGAAACTGTGATAAATGAAAATACTACATTTTGATAAAAGAAAACCCCTAAAACTATTTTAATTGATAAAAATTTTAATATAGGTTTATATGCTATCAACTCATGATATGAATATTTAATAAATAACATGATGGCTGATAAAGCTAATGATAAGCTGATTGAAATAAATATTGTTTTATATGGATAAATTGTTTTTAGGTGTAATAAGCTTGAACCATAACAATGATGTTTTATACAAAGAATTGAAAGAAAAGTAAATAATGGCTTGATTACTATACATTGAAATACAAATACTCTACAATAAAATAAAAACTTTCTAAATTTATTATTAATTTATGTTATTTTTTAAAAAAGCTATAATTTTACTTACTCTGTGGGTTTGTATTTATAATTTGATAAAAATGGAAATATCTTTGATTGAAAAATTGGCTCTGGGTCGTGTAAAACAAAATGATTCATTAAATTATCGTCACCTCCCCCATACAAAACCAATAGTTGAAAAAACATATATAAAGAATGTGATTCATATAAATCTCTAATTAACTCCAAAACTTCTTTATGTTGTTTAAAAAATATTATTATTAATGTTAAAAGTGTATAAAATGGGCCCATAAAAATACCCCTAATAATATATTTTTGTTCTGGTTTTGAATAATATTTTAAATGTTTATATATTAAATAGAATGATAGAACTAAAGTGGCACCTGTAAATATACATGAAAATAAAATTAAAAAAATTGATATTAAATCTGTTTCTATTATAATTTTATTATTTCTAACCCTTTTAATTTAATTAAAAATAACAAATTATATTTGTAGCTAAAAAAAAAAAAAAAAATAAAAAAAAATTTTTACAAATAAATTAATTATTTTTATTATTTATTTTCCCCCCAAAAAAAAATTTTAAAAAATTTTCTTATTATTATTTTTTATAAGCTGTCTTTTTAACTACTTAATTACCATAACCCCCAATCAATTTGTTCTACCTTTAATCCCCTTCTATAGTATTTTTTTTTTTTTCAAGAGATGATTTTTAATGATAATTAAGTATTTTTTATTAAATGTGTTTTTTATTCTTTGGTAAGTTTACCACACTGCATATATGTTTAAGCACTGTAACGTCAATTCGTATGGGATCCCACCTTACCAATTCCATTGTTTTGATAAAATTTTTGATAAATTCTATTTCGATGAATTCAACAATCATTTTTTTTTTTTATTTAGTTAAGATGAAGTTTAATGGTAAGTCATCTTTTTTTTTTATTTATTATGTTTATGTTTTTTTTTAAAAGGATATTTTCAAAATATTAAAGTACCCGGGGCGTGTGAGGTGATTGGTTTTTTGTTTGTTTGTTTGTTTCGTCATTAGATATTTCCTCATTATCTAGTGTGGCAGTTGAATTGATTCTTTGTAATCATCATCTTGATCATTAAAGTCGACATTATCTTTTTTGATTAATTGATTGAATTTTGTTATTTCTTTATTAGTGGAGACCCCTGACATTCAGAACTAAGTGTTATGGGGACGGAACTAAGTGTTGAAAGTATTTGGTAAAAATCTTGATGGAGGTTAAGCGATTTAAAAAAAGTAAATCATACGGAAGATATAAACAATCAAAAAGTGTGGGGAAATCCGAGAATCGAACTCAGGACGCTACCACCCAAAGGTAGCATTATACCACTTAACTAATTTCCCAGTTTGTTGAAAAAATTATTTTTTACTCTTAGTGAATTTTTTTATAAATACATAAATCAATTGATTTAATTCGTGTTAATCTTTGCTCCGTTTGAATTGGAAAAAAATATGGTTAAAGATTAACAATTAAAAAAATTTTAAAAAAATTATTTTAATAAAAAGAAAATTTTCCAAAACCTCAGGTATTAATAATGGAAATTTTAATGATTAAGTTATATTTTGATAACAGAATATAAATTTTTATTTTTTGAAAACCCCTAAAAATCACAAAAAATTGAAACCTCTTTAATAATTTTTATTAAATGAATTCTTTTATTTATATTTTATTTAAATTTTTTTTTTTTTTTAAATAACATTGCTAATTTTTATAAAAATAATTATTTTTTATACATTTCCTTTTTAATGTTTTAATATTAAATAGTATAAAAACAAACAATATAAAAAATTATTAAAAAAAATTTGTTTAAAGTTTCCCAAAAAATAATTCGAAAATAATTTAAATTTGATAACAAATCACATATATATTTATTACCATAAATATTATTTCATAATATAAATTATTTATAAAAATGATGTTGTGTGATAGATAATAGATTAACAGTTTATTAAATAATCAAATTTAAAAAAAAGTAAAGGTTTTTTAATTATAAATTTAGTTTATTTACAAATCAATATTTTTTTAATTATTTTTTTTTTTTGCGCAACCATAGTTTGTTTCTTCGGTTTGTATTATTTATTTATTGTGTTTTGTTGGTATTTATTTGTTTTTTTTTTTTTTTTTTGTTTTTTAAAAAATAAAATAGAGATAAATCTTTGCTCTACTTTTTTATGATATTTTTATACAATGTTTTAAGGTTAAATGGTTGTGTTTTATGCTATATTTAATTAATGTGAAGGTGATGAAGGAGTAGTGCTGTGAATATGGGTAAGTGGATGGTGATTATTATTAGGGATGCTTGGGCCTAAAAATTTCCTTATTCTCTTTACTAAATCTGCTTTAACTTGTGGAGGTACTTTTTCTATTTTAAAAAAATAACAAAAATAAAGTTAATAAAAAATCTTTAAATTAGTTTGGTATATTAATATTATTTGAAATAATTACTTTTAGCAGTTGGTGTAACGAGTGCTATTAACTCTTCTATTTTAAAATTTTCGTTTTGATTATTCTTTATTATTTCACGACATGATACCTTTACTTCGTCTCTCCCACCTCCTTCAACTAATTTACTTTTTAATAATACCCTTTAATCTTTCTTTTTCGCCCGATTCCTATAAGTCTTTGATGAATTGTAGATCTTAATTTTATATGACCTAAATAAAGTAGTTTATATATTAATGTTAATTTATAAGAAAATAAAAAATAAAAAAAAAGAAATAAATATTATAATTACTCTTTTGGTATATCAATAGACGATGTCATTTTATATATTATATATTAATTCTTTTAGATGATAATTATTATTGTTATTATTATTTAAAAAATTTCTTTTATTTTTTTTTTTTATTTAGATATTTTAAATTTTGTGGTAATTATTATTTATAAAATTTATTTGAATAAAAAACTATTTGTTAATGCTAATTTTTAAAAAAAAAAAAATCGAACTATTAATGTACAAATTGATATTATATTATATCTATATTATTAGGAGCAATTTATAATAAATGATTATTATTTGATTATTTTGTGGTGGTATTGAATGAAAAATGAATGATTATTGGTATGATGGATGATTATTGTCCGTTTTATTTTTGTTCTTTTTTTAACAAAAAAAAAAAAAAAAAAGAAAAAAAATTTAAATAAAAATCAAAAAAAAAAATCAAAAAAAAAATTTTAAAAAATTTAAAAAAAATTTAAAAAAATAAAAAAAAAAAATTATTATAATAATATTATTTATTATAATTATTTTGAAAAAAAAAAAAATCTTAAATCTAGATTGCAATGAATTCCACTATGAATTATTTGTGATGATAATTGTTTACACTATTGTTTTTTAAAAGAAACAAAATGAAATTAAAGAAAATAAGATTTTTTTTGATTGATTTCACTTGTTATTTTTGTTGATGTTATAATATTTTAAATTGAAAAAAAAAAAAAAATAGACACACAAAAAATTTAAATAAAGAAATAAAAAAAATTTTAAAATAAAAAATACTGAAAATTTAAAAAAAAACAAAATAAGAGAAACAAAAATTTATTTTTATCTTTGTTTTGAAAGGAAAAAAAAAAAAAAATATAAATAAAAACAAAATTTAAAAATAAAAAAAAAGAAATAAATAGAAACAAAATTTTGGGGGGTAATATTTTGGTGGAGAGTGTTAAATCAGTGTTTGGGTTAATCTGGAGTTAAAAATAATTATAATAAATCGAAATCAAATAATTCTTTTTAGGTCTAGGATTACATCATTTTATTATATTATTATTTGAATGATTTAATATTTATTTTTTTATTTTTTTTAAATTTATTTTATATTTTTATAATAATTCATATTTATTTTTTTTTTTAGAAAATTAAGTTTTTTTTTTTAAATTTTTTTAATTTTTTTTTATTTTTTTGAATAAAAATAAAAGAGATTTTAATTTTGATATGAAATTCACCCAACAACCAAAAAATGGATTTTAGAAAAAAAAATTGGTTTTTTTTTAAAATTTTTTTTTTTTTTTAAAATAATTTTTTTTTTTTTAATTTTTTTTTTAATTTTTTATATTTATTTTTTTTTCATCTCAATAATTATAAATAAAATAATTTGTTCACTCATTTATTTAATAGTAATAGCAATAGTAATAAAATAAAATAAATATAAAAAAAAAAAAAAAAAAAAATGGATGCTATACCAATAGTATCTTTATCTTTGTCCCCATCAAAAGATTCAACATGTTTATTTTTTAAAATATGGAGAAATAATTACCTAAGATCCAATATTATTCAATGGTTACCATCTATTAATCATTGCTATGATATTTCAGAATATTATTTATATTATGACAATTCAAATAGTAGCGAAGAAGAAGAGGAAGATGGTGTACATTTCGAAACTAAAGGCTTTGACGAGAATGACTGCGACAACGAATCATATTTTATATATGACGATATAGTAGAATTAAAAAGTAAATTGAAAATAAAGAGCTATTCCGAGGCCAATGACTTGTTATGGTTAATTAAAAATAAACACTTTCCACTATTAAAAGATAAACTAATAATGCATAAAATTATAAAACAACAACAACAAAGTAATAGTAAGAATGGTAAAAAATCATTTAATAACAATTTAAAAAATTTTAAATTAAATATAACCGAAAATTCAATCTATAACTTTTGTCTTCAAAATAAAGATATCAATATTTTTAAATTATTTTTCGAAGTCTACGGCAACGAATATTTTTGCACAGAGAATACAAAAATTATGGAGAAGGTTGTACAAAGTGGTAGCTTAGAAATAGTCAAATATCTAATTCAAAAGGGTTTCAAATTCGATTCAGAGTCAATCCATTTCAGTATCTCTTTTGGGTTCTTCAAAGTGTTTAAGTTCTTAATGGAGTCAATGGCAAATTCTACCGAGATCTCATTAGAATCAAATACAATCGATTTTGCAAGAGGTGATCCAGTATTAGTGGCCAAAAAATCAAGTACTGGCCAAGATGTTATTAAATTGAGAAATATTGGTTTAAAAATTTTACATTATTTACATGAAATATATCCTGATATTGAATACTCTCAACAGGCTGTAGATTATAGCTGTGTTAGTGGTAATTTAAAAATGGTAGAATTTTATGGTTGTGAAAAAGGATTGCTTCCATCAGAAAAGGGCATCCAGGGTGCCATTATAGGAAATCATTTAAATTTATTAAGATACTTTAAAGAGAAAAATTTATTCAGAGAGTCCGATATGTATACATTTGGTATCGATCAAGCCATTGCAAAGGGTCATATGGAGGCCATCAAGTTTATGCACAGAAATTTAAATCGTAAATGGTCCCATGAAGCAATTGGTTTTGCTGCAAAATTCTCAAAATTTGAAATCTTAGAGTATATGTATAAGCATGATCAAGATCTATTTAAAGAGCATCTCAGAAATACAAGGGTTTTAAAAAAGGCATCATCAGGTGGGGATAGGCGCACAATCGAATATCTAATGGGTCTAGGTTTTGCAGGTTCTGAACATTTGATAATAAAAGCATCAAAAAAGAATAATGTCGAATTAGTAGAATTTTTTTTCGACCGTTTCAAAACATCAGTACCATTTTCAAATAAATCAATTGACTATAGTATACAAAACAATAGTTTAGAAATGTTTAAAGCTCTAATGAAAATTAAAGGTAAATATAACAGCATAAATTATAACAGTGGCTACCACATTGAAATTAGTGGTAATTTCAGTAATGGTAATAGTTTAAAATTAAATAAATATGTAATGCAGTGTATAAGAAATAAAAATCTAGTGCTTTTAAAATATGTTGTTCAGCATTTTCACAAAGAAGGTCTTAGAATTACCAGTAGAAAAGAAAATTTATTATTATTTGCAGCCCAACACGATTTGTCAATTGTTAAATATCTTTTAACATTACCAGGATTTAAAGTAACACCAAATATTATATTTGCATCAAAAAATAGAAGAATGGCAAAGTTTTTATATTCAATGTATGATGGCCACTCACCAATGAATTCATTAGTTTTTGAAAATTCTATCAATCATAGCAACCTAAACTTATTGAAGTACCACATTCAAAAGATTATAATCCATAAGAAATCTTTGGGTGAGACAGTATCAATCAAAGATATTTTATCAGAAAAAGAAGTTTCAAAAATTGCATCACTTCCAAATAATGCTAAAGCTTTAAAATACATTCACAGGGTTTATAAAATACCATTTTCAAACCAAATCTTAAGAGATTCTTGTAGTTCAAATTCACTCGAAAATGTTAAATATGTAAATGAAGTTTTAGAAAGTCAATCAGTTAAAAGTACTAATAAAGAGCCAGCAAAACCAGCAAAACCAGTAGACACTACCATTACAAAGAGTTCTACCACCACATCAAACCACACAAGTTCATCAGTTACATCATCAAGTTTTTTGAGGAATATGGTAACTTATCGAGAATATATTATGGACAGTGCAATTGACAGTTTGGAGATAGTAAAATATTTAAACTTTCATAGTAATCAAGAATGCAGTACCAAAGCTATCGAAGAAGCAGCCCATTTAGAAAACTATATGACCGTTAAATTTTTATTAGAGAATAGAAAAGAAGGTTTTACAAATAATGCCAGACTTAAAGCAGAATCATTTCCATCTATTTTAAAGCTTTTAAAAGATCATAATGATTTATTAAAAAAACAATAAAATACTACAAATACAATTATGTATTTAATGTATAATTATAAAATTATAAATATACTATAAAAACACAAATAAAATAAAATTAAATAAAACTAAATAAAACTAAATAAAATAAAATAAAATAAAATAAAATCAAATAAAATAAAATAAAATAAAATCAAATAAAATCAAACAAAATAAAATAAAATAAAATAAAATATTAAAACAATAAACTCCATTATATATGAAATAAATATTTATTTAATTTTTTTTTAATATAATTTTTGAAACACCGTATTTTCCATTGAATGATTCAATTGATTCAATTGATTTGAAGTTGGTTGCTGATATTAATTGTTCCCATTCTTCAGTTGTACGTTCTTGGCCGCCAATGACATGTAAATTTAAAATATCAAATATTGCATGGAAATCTGGTTGATTCTTTGGTGGTAAAATACCCTCTAAAAGTACCAAGTAGGTGTTTGGTTTCATTTTGCTGTAAACGTTATTAATAATAACTGTTGATTTTTCATTGGACCAATCATGAATAACTCTTTTCATTATGTATAGATCTGCATTTTCTGGGATGGTTTCTGCCTTAAAGAAATCGCCTGGTTTGTATTCTAATTTTGATTTAATTTCTGGTGCTAACGATTTGATAAATCCTTGTGAGAATTCTGAATTGATGGCCATTGGAAGATCGAAGTTTATAGCTTTTTCAATTGATGGATATAATGGTATGAGATCAGATAACAATTTACCAGAGCTTCCGCCTATATCACATACAACTTTAGATTCACCCATCTGATTTGAGAATTCTGAAAGGATACTATGATTTGATTGGGTTTGGAATGACATTGCTTTTATAAAACATGTTTTAAAATCGTCGTTCTGACTAGAAAATGCCCATAAATTTGGATATCCAATAGATTGAAAAGCTTTACTTGAGCCGCTTTTAATTGAATCTTCTAAATGTAACCAGGATTCCATAATTTTTGGGTTTAATGCCATTTTAACGTGATTAATAGCACCATTATCATTTACTAATAATTTGGATAGAGGTGAATTGGTAAAGCAGTATGGTTCCTCCATTTCGATAAATAAACCTTCTCTTGATAAAAATCTTAATATACGATAAAAATATTGCCCATCAAACTCTAATTCTTTGGCCAATTCTAATGAGTTGTTTTTACCTTGTTCGATAAGTTTGGGAATATCATATTTAACTATAATTGCAAAAGCACTTGATTTCCATATACCACAATAGTTTAGTTTTAATAATTCATCCATTCCCTTATAAAAAAAAAAAAAAATAAAAAAATAAAAAAAAAAAAAAAGTTAATAGGTTTTATTTAAATACATAATTTATTTATATTTTTTTATTTATACTTTATTTCTTAAAGATAAAATCAGTTAGAGTTTGTTTTGATAAAAAATAAATATTTTTTTTTTTTTTTTATATTTTTTTTTTTTTATTTATTTATATTTTTTAAAAAAATAATAGCCCATGAATTATTAATGCATACGACTAATAGATTTCTATAAAAAAATGAAGTGATGAATAGAAGACCATATTTATTTAATTATTAATCTATAGATAAAAATAGATTTTTTTTTTTTTTTTAGTATAGAGATAATATTATCAACAACCATGTAATGTTTTTATTAATTTATTAATAGGGTGTTGTAAGCATATTATTATTATTATAGTTATTGGTAATAATAATTATTTCAAATTACACCAAACACAAAATAATTGAATGGTTTTATTTATTTTTTTATTGGAAATAAAGAGTTTTTAAATATATTAAGTGATCGAAATGAAAAACAAAAAAGAATTAATTTTCATAGAAGTGTGTATATATGATGTTTGATGATGACCATTTAAATAGTTGATTCAAATAATTCAATTAAAAAAAAATTTTAAAAAATAAAAAAAAAAATAAAAAAATAAAATTTTTTTTTTTTTTTTAATTTTTTAAAAAAAAAAAAATTATATTAAAATTTTTTTTATATATGTGTTACTTCTTCATTATTTAAATTTTGTATATAAACAACAAAATTAATTTATTAGTTTATTATAGGTTATATTTTTATAATAAATTTAATAATAAAAACCCTTCCTTTTATATACAAATCTTTAAATTTTAAATATTTTTCAAAAAATATAAAAAGAATCCTTATATTTTAGGAATTGTATTTATAATAATAATAAATAATAAAATAATAGTAATACCTATTATAATAATAATAAATAATATTTTAAATTAAAGGGATCCAATAAACAGTTTTAAAAAAATACAGATCATTTTATATATATTTTACATTTTTTTTTTTAAATAAATAATAAAAATGGGTGGAGTTCAAAGTAAAAAATTAAATAAAAAATGTAATGTATAAAGTCAAAAAAACAAATTATATTTATAGACTAATTATAATAAAATAAAAATTGAAAAAAACAAAAAAAAAAAATTGAAAACATTTTACTAATTTTTAACATTTAACTCCCCATAATAATAGTGGAACAAAATGAAATTGACAGAATTCAAACTTTATTTAACGATATATCAGTACCAATCAAATCAGTTAAATCAATAGATAGGGATGGATTCAAAAAGTTTCATTTACTTCCAGAACCTTTATCAGATAGAATATTTAATTTATTCGAACAAAAAAAGAGCAATACAATGTCATTCGATGATTTATTATCAGGTTTAGCAGTTTGTAGTAAAGCAAGTGAAAAGGATAAAGTTCATGTAATCTTTAAGTTTTTAGATATAGATGATGATGGTGTAATTACAAAAGAAGAAATTTCAGTTTTATCTGTTGTTTCATTAGAAAATCCAAATAGCCCAAAAATATTTTCACAAGGTAACAACAGAATATTATAATTATAATAGTAATATAAAGTCTAATAATTTTTTTTTAATTTTTAGACCCACAAGAAAATCCACTACTTTCACAAGTTATTGCAATGGGTTTTCCAAAGCATAAAGTTAATTTAGCACTTAAAGAAACAAAGAATGGCTCAATTGGTACACCAGGAAGTAATCCAATAGAAAATATAGTTACATGGTTACTTGCTAATCATTCAGCGGTAAAATATCCAAATACTATTATAGTTTATAATAGAATAATATTAACAAATTTTATTTTTATTATTAGGATGGAGATTTAGGTATTGATGAAGAGCCACCACAAGAAAAACCAATTGAAGATAAAATTAATTTAAAACCAGATCCAAAATCAATTGAGGAATTAACAATTGGGTTAAATTTATCGACTATATTAACAACATTTGAAGGATTATTTGATGTTTTAGATAAAGAAGGTGGTAAAATTACTTCTGCTAAATTTAAGAAATGGGCCAGTAATTCAAAGAAACCACAAGAATTAGACTCCTTGTTAAAGCCAATAGCTGCATTATATGATAGAGCAATCAAATGGAAATCTGATTCAACCTTAAATCAATCAAGCGAAGCAATTCAAAGATCAACCTCAAATAGTAGTATTTCATCACAAGTTAGCATGCAACAACAACAACAAACCAATGGTTCAATAAATAGCAATAATACCTCATTACAAGATATAAACAATCCAAATCCTAAAGAATTAAAGAGATATTCATCGGTATCTGTAATGGAAACTTCATCAGCAAATAAAAAGGCCGAAAAAGAAAAAGAAAAAGCAGAAAAAGCAGCAGAGAAAGAAAAGGAAAAAGCAGAAAAGGCAGCAAAGAAAGCAGCAGAGAAAGAAAAAGAAAAATCAGAAAAATCAGAAAAATCAGTAGATAAATCAAGTGATAAGTCATTTGAAAAACCAGCAAATTTCGAGGGTGTTGTTAGTCCAATTAAAGAAAGTGGAAGTATAAGTAAGGATAATAATAGTACTACAATCAAATCTAGTAGTGCCTCTATTTCAGGCCCAAAGAAAGATAACGATACATCATCTTCATTCGACTCTGATAGTGACGACGAAGTTATCAAACCTGCTATACAGGTTGTAATTAGAGATAAGCCAATAGAATTACAAAAACAAGACTCTCTCTTTAATATTGACCCATCCATTGGTATTATTAAACCAATGGCCGGTAAACAATCAGCAGCAACTCTCAGATCTAGAGGCAGTAGAAGCAACAGAAATACCATTGACCCAGAAATGTTTTCACTTCAACCATTAACACCAGTTTCAAAACAACACACAACAACTACCACAACTACAAATACCAATCAATCAAATACACCTAGTCCAACATTGTCATCACCAATTTCAAATTCACCAACACTAAGTAACAATAGAAATCCATTGGGTCAAAGTAATACTATAGTATCATCACCACCAGCATTTGTGCAGTCACAATCAAGTGCTAGTTTCTTTACAAATAATAGTAATAATACTCAACCACCAACTACTACATCATTGCAGCCAACTACTAAACATAATGTTTCATTTACAGATACAGCATCATCAAACAGTAATCCTGCAAGCCCAATTTCACAAAAAATAAATTCTGAAAGTATTGAATTTATGAAAAAATGTATAAATAAATTAGAATCTGGTCAATTTAAAGATGCAATTCAAGATATAGATCAATGTATTAGAGTATTATGTATGTATAGAGTTTAATTAAATAGAATAAAAATAATATTTATTAATAAAAATTTTCTTTTTTTAGTGCAAATTCATTCATCAAACTATTCAATTATTCAAAATGAAGTTAATTTTTGTGTTGGTTATAGAGTTGCATTAAATATATTAAATGAAATTAATATTATAGAACAAAAAATTCAAAAAGAAACAAATACCGATGATATTGCATCCTTTTATGAATCACAAGCTTTATTATCAAAGTTTTTGGTAGATATTCCACTTCAAAATAATCATAGAATAGTTTGTGCTAAAATGGCCATAAAATATAATTTGCTTGCAAATAATTTTGGAATTGCTTCAAAACTGATTGGGGTATGTAGAAAAAAAAAAAAAAAAAAAAAAAAAAGAAATATTTATATATATTAATGTTTAAATTTTATTTTAGGCACTCACCCAAAAAAGTAATATTAAATTAGAAGAAAAATCTCAATATGAATCACAATTGTCTCAATGTAAAGAAAATCATTTTAATAACTCTGGATTACCAATGTATATTTGTCCAAGTTGCAAATCACCAACTGGCGCTGATTCAATTAAATGTTCATGTGGTAGACCTGTAAGATGGTGTTTCCAAACATTTTCTTTAATCAAAGACCTTACCTTTTTACAATGTAACTTTTGTAATTCTACATTTTCAATTAATCAATATGAAGTTGTTCCAAAATCAATTTGTCCATGTTGTTCTCATGGTATAGTTATAACAAAAAATTAAAATATTTAATAAATAAATAATAAAATAAAATTATACAAATTATATATAATATAACAGAAATAATATGATCATAATGATCACTAAATCTTTTATTTAAAAAAAAAAATATTTGTTTTATTATTAATACATTTACAATTTTATTGAGTTTGTTTTATTTGTTTAAATAAATAATTTGCATGTTGTTTGTTTTTTGTTTTTGCTATAATTTAATATATAATTTTAATCCCAAAGGAACAACATAGATACAAAACTTTCATATTGAACATAACCTGAATTTTGTGGGTCAGCTTCATAAATCATTTCTTCAATCTATTTTTTAAAAATTAAAAATTTTATTAATATAATGTTTTTGAAATTATAAATATAAATATTAAAATATAAATACCTCTTCTGGTGGCATCATATCACCTAATTCATTTAAAACTTTTCTTAAATAATCAACAGTTACATAACCATTACCATCACGATCAAAAACTTTGAATGCTTCGATGACTTGTGCCTACGTAAATAATAAAAAAATTAGTTATTTATTCTTTTAGAAACTATGAAATATAGTCGTGTTATTATTACTTTTGTGTTAATATGATTCATTTTATATTGTTATTATATATTTGAAAAAAAAAAAATCAAAAAAAAATTCTTTTTTTTTTAAAATTTTTAAAAAATTTTTTTAATTTATTTTTAAAAATTTTTTTTTTTTTTTTAAAATGTTTTATTATAAAAAAATGGGTTTTTATTTTTATTTTTTTTTTATTTTTTTTTATTTTTATTATTTTTTTTTTTACAATTATTTTTATAGTTTTTACTTTTTATAGTTTTTACTTTTTATATTTATTTTTTATGGTTGTTTTAATAGGAAATATTATAATATTAATGGAAAATAAAAATTTCTTTTAAAGATTTTATTAAATTATATAATTTTTTTATAAAGCTATTGGGTTTTTAATATTTTACTTAAATGGGTTATAGATTTTATCTTTTCTTATCTAATAAATAAACTTTAAAATAAATGGATCATTTTGGAATTATAAAGCAATATTTAAATAAATGTAACTAATTTTTTATTATTAAGCTATTGTTTTCTGAAAACTTCAACAAACTGGGAAATTAGTTAAGTGGTATAATGCTACCTTTGGGTGGTAGCGTCCTGAGTTCGATTCTCGGATTTCCCCACACTTTTTGATTTTTTATATCTTCCGTATGATTTAAAATGCCATATCCCTGGTATTTCATCAAGTTTGGATTTGGTTATGTAAAGAATTATATGACGATCAAGAAAATACAATAAAAGAACTCGATTATAAGAATCTAACCTCAAAATGGACTAAGCTAGCTACTTTAGAATACTTAAAAGGTTTAAAAAACATCAAGGAAAGACACGCTAAACAACCACAAACAATTAGCAACATCAATGAAGAATATAGAAAATTCAAAAGAAGAATAGCAAGAGCATACTTCATCAGCATCAAATCATTACCAAATATCAACAGTTTAGAATATTTTCTTTAAAAACTTTAATTATCTTCATTTTTAAAAAAAAAAAAAAAAAAAAAAAATGTGTTGGTACTTTTATTATAATTCCATCTGCTATCTTTACCAGAACTCGACTATAAGAATCTAACCTCAAAATGGACTAAGCTAGCTACTTTAGAATACATAAAAGGTTTAAAAAACATCAAGGAAAAACACGCTAAACAACCACAGACAATTAGCAACATCAATGAAGAATAGCAAGAGCATACTTCATCAGCATCAGCATTACCAAATATCAACAGTTTAGAATATTTTCTTTCAAAACTTTATAAAAAACATTAAATAAAATTTTACTTGATTAATTTAAAGCATTTGCTTTTAATTATCTTCACTTTTAAAAAAAAAAAAAAAAAAAAAAAAGGATCACACAAATTGAAGTTACCGTGCCCAACTTGTACAGTGTGGTAAAACAAGATCTTGTTCATTAAGAATCATCTTCACTTTAAAAAAAAAAAAAAAGAACAAGGATCATTACCTGAAACCACTCTTATCAATTTCCAAATAATTTTGATTGGAAAATTAACATTATGTAATGTGGATGGAGCTACTTTAATTTTGCTGAATACATTACAATTATTTTAATTTTGCTTTTAATTATCTTTACTTTTTAAAAAAAAAAAAAAAAAAAAAAAAAAAAAAAATTTAAATTTTTCAAAAAAGAATTTTTAAAAAAAATTAAAAAAATAAAAAATAATAAAAACTTTTAAGTTTTTCGAATTTTACAAAAACATTTCATATAAATTTTATTTTATTTAATTTGATCATAGCACCTTGCAATAAATGTAGATGGAGCTACTTTAGTTATAGATAAATAATAATAATAATTATAAAATAAAAAATAATAAAATTTATTTTTAGATACAAAATTTTCAAATCTATAAAAATGAAATAGTTTATAAAAAAAATTTATTTTATTTATTTATTTATTTATTTATTTATTTATTTATTTATTTATTTATTTATTTATTTATTTATTTTTTTATTTATTTATAAATTTTATATATATCTATTCGCAGTTTTTTTTTTTTACCCGATTTGTATTCAACCTGACCCGTGATTAAACCTCCCATTTACGGGCTTTAACTGTAGCTTCAGTTGGTGGTCTATATGCAATAAAATTATAAATAGTTTAATACAAGAATATTCTTAAGCAAAAATAATCTGGACTCAAATATAAGTCATTCTGCTCCGCAAAGTTTTGACAAAGTTTGGTATAATCAATTTTAATAATTTTTTTATCAAACAATTCAAGACACAAAATAAATTAGTATTTTTTAATTAAATATAATCAAAAAAAAAATTCAAAAAAAAATATTCGACAACATATTAAATATTTTATAAATGTATATACAACATTAAATTAAAAATAGGAACCCAACATCAAATAACAGAGGAATAATATAAATATTTAATTTAATTTAATTTAATTTAATTTAATTTAATTTAATTTTTTTTTTTTTTAATTTAATTTTAAAAAATTATTTTATAATTTTTTTATAATTTCAAAAATTATATTTTTTTTATTTATAATTTATTCAAACAAACTCTTTTTTTTATACTTTTATATTAAGAATTCATAAAATTGAAGAAAAAAATAACTGGGTATAATAATAATAACTAATTCATTTTTATTTTATAGTATAGTAAATAAATGAAGGCTATTGAGTGTTCTCTTTGTAAAGGTATTTTTGAGAAACCTCAAAAAATAAAACCTTGTAAACATAGGGTCTGTTTAAAATGTATTCAGAGCGCAATAAAACATAGTTTAGATCCAAAATGCCCAGTATGTACTGAAATTATAAAAAGTTTCTCATTAGATGAAATTTTAAATAAAGTAGTAGAAGAATATTTATGTAAAGAGAAAAATTCGTGCCATTTTCATCCAGATGAAACTTACTCTCTATGTCTCTGTGAGCCTATACCAGTCAGTAAGAAACGTATTGATGAACAACACAGTGGTCATTTCATTGTAGATGTAGAGGATTTCAAAGAAAATATAAAGAAAAGGGTCGAAACCAAAAAGAAGGAGTTTAAACTTGAACCAGAAATGTTCAACGAAGTGCAAGACAGTTTAACAGATTGTAAAGAGAAATGGGAAAAGTCAAAGCAAAATGATCTTCTAAAAACACAAATGGTGTATAATGATGTTCACAAATTCTTTCAAATCAAGGACCATGGTGACAAGAAAAACATTGATGAGGCAAACTCAATTATTAAGTTTGAATACGACAATTTTAATAAAAAAATTGATCAAAAGAAAAAAGACATAGAACAATTTGCCAAATTAGAATCATTGGATATTAAAAAGGATATATATGGTTCAAATTTATTATTAAAAAGTATTCAGGGTATCGACTCATTAAGTGATGGCAAGAAACAAATTTCATCATTTTCAGAGTACCCAAATAAAATCCATTTTAACCAAGAAATCTTTCAAAAAATCAAATCTTTATCTAAAAATTTGTCTGAACCATACCACTGCATCTGTGGCAGCACTGAAACGGATTGCCCATGTTATCAAAAATACAGGAAAAGTCCAAGTTTCTTGGATCCGCCAGAATCCCTCAATACATCCCTTTCCTCTTCATTTTCATCTACAAATAGTTACCAACCAATCTCAATTGCCGCATTAAAATCAAAACTCGAAAATATACCTAAACTCTCAGCTCAACCACAAAAAATTTTGTCTGATACAAATACAATTCCAAGAATAAAATGCTTATATTTCTTATGTGGTAGGGAGGAAAAATCAGATTTATATAATTGTTTTAAATATTATCCAATTAGAGACGAATGGGAGCCCATGAAACCCACAAAAGATAGAAGAGCTTTTGTTACAGATGCAATTATAGTTATCAAACATTATATATACGTTTTTGGGGGTAACAATTCACTCAATTCTTATGAAAAATTCAATATTACTTCTGATTTTTGGGAAAATGGTGATATTCCATCGGGTGGTGGCTCATCAGTATCTGCAGCTTATGATGGCCAAGACTCAATTTATTTAGTTGGTGGTTACAAATCCAATGTTTCTTTAGATAGAATTGATAGGTATATAATCAAAAATGATGTAACTGGCAAAGAAACCCTCCAACTTCAATCGGTTACCACAATGAAATACCCGAGATGCTATTGCTTCACATTGGTCCATGATAAACAACTCTTTATTATTGGCGGTACCGATAATAGAGATGCAAAGGTTACCATTGTTAACAATATCGAAGTCCTCAGTTTTGAAACCAATAAAACTACCATTTTTTTAGATAATCTCAATGAACACAGCGAGAGAGTTGAAGGCATTGCTTTTGATGGTATCTTTATCTACATCATAACCTTTAAAAGGTTTTATACAGTACATATCAATACTAAATTAAAAGGCAAATATTTAGAATACCCTCCAATCGAGAATATGAGATGTGGATACGCTTTGATCATCGGAACTGACAATAATGCAGACACTGTTATCTACCTTATTGGTAGTGGATTGAATCATTATTATTATAAAATTAAAGAAAATAAATGGTACACACAACTATCAAAAAGACCAAACGAATATTGTTTTCATGGATGTGGAGTTGAATATGAAGAATCCGAGAAACAGGGGGGATTTGATAAAGGAGACATAATAGAATCTTTTCTTCCATAATGTAGTGAACAAGGATCATTACTCAATAATAATCAACAATAATTAATAATAATCAACAATTATTTTAATTTTTCAAAAAGAATTTTATAAAAACATAAACATTTCATATAAATTTTAAAAAATACAATATTTTTTATATATATTTACCGTTTAATTAATAAAATAAAAAAATAGGATTTACACAATAATAAAAATATTGATTCTATTGAAAATATTGTATATTCCGGGCACTGTATGTTTATTGTTTTTCTTTTTATTATAATAATATTAATATTTTAATAATAATATAATAAATAAAACAAAATGGGAACACAGTTTAAAAAAGTATAATAATTTATTAAAAAAAAAAAAATAACAATTTATATGTGAACAAACTCTAAATAAAAAAAAAAAAAAAATTTATATTTCAAATCACACAAATTGACTATTTGACTCTATTTACAGTTTCTTCAATTTCAAAATATGTAATTTGGTAATAATTTTAAAAAAACTTTATAAAATTTTTTAGTAATTAAACTATAAGTTTAAAATATATATAATTAAATATATATAAAAAAATTAAATTTTATTCTAACTGTTGATATTATTATAATGTTAACTATTTAATTTTATTTTTTCGAAGAGTTGGATGTTTGATTTTGGATTGTGTTTACACTTTTTGAAGAAACACGTAATAATGGAATTTTTGAAGTATATGAAGATACAGAAGGACTTGATGATGTGCTGGTAGTGGTTTTATTTACTAAATTGCTATTGTTTGCTATGGTTACATTGCTTGATGATGTTGATGGATTCAATAAATTACTATTGCTATTATTGTTATTATTATTAGTTGAGTTGGCACTGTTTATAGTTGGAGAGTTTGAATTTGAATTAGAGTTTGAATTAGAATTTGAATTAGCACTTGTACCAATTGCTTGAGTATTAAATGATGATACACTTGGTACTCTTGAAACACATTTTTCTTCAACATAAAAGCTTTTTAATAAACCTTTAGCTCTTGCACCTTCAACAATAGAAGGAAATCTTTGGAAATTAAAACCACCAAAAGGCATTAATCTAATACTGTTATCTTCTGGGTCAGCTTCTACATTGGAGGTTTGCATTGCTTCTTGGGCGGCTTCAACTAATTCATCACCTTCACTTTCTTCTTCGTCTTCATCGATACTTTCAGCACCTTCAAAGTATGAGGTATCGATTTCATTTTGAACATTTGGTACAAATGGTGGTGAAACTGTTCTAATATTATCCCAATCTATATTTACAAAGTATGGATGTGTTTTCATTTCATCTAGGCAAATTCTTTTCTCTGGTTCACATAATAGATTTTTTAACAAGTCAGTGGCCAATGGGGAGATGAATTCACCAATACGTTTCCAATCTAAAATATTTTTCCAATCTAAAATGTTCATAAATACTTCTTCTGGCGTATCGCCTGTGAATGGGGTGTCTCCTAGTAATATTTCGAAAAAGACTACGCCCAAAGACCAATAGTCATAGGTGATGTCATATCCTTTACCCTCTAACATTTCTGGTGCCATGTATTCTGGTGATCCAACTTTGCTAAATGTTACTTTTTTATTTAATGGTTGCTTCAATAAATTGCTGTCGTTGCTGCTTCTTAACTTTAAATTAAAGTGTAATGATTGAGATGATGAATCCTCTCTTAAGTTTTTCCATGTGTCGTGATATTTTGAATTACGAGAAATGAAACCTTCTTTACTGAGACCAAAATCGATAAGCTTAAGGTGACCATATTTATCTACAACGAAATTACTTGGCTTTAAATCTCTGTGAATATAACCTAATTTGTGAAGTGATTCGACAGATAATATCATCTCAGCCATATAGAATGGAGCAATATCATCTTCAAGACGTATTAAGTTGTTTAAGAGTGCTCTAAAATCTCCACCACAGTGATATTCCATTGCCAAATATAAATATTGAGAGTCATGGAAGCTATATAAAAGACGGGTAATCCATTGTGATTGATCTTTGTTTGAATGGGGTATCATCATTACTTCTTTTTCTTTGGTTACAGATGTCATTTGATTTGCTTTATGATAGGTATTCTTTTTAATTACTTTTAATGTTACAACTTCACCTGAATCTTTCTTTCTAGCTAAGAAAACTTTACCAAAACCACCTTTACCAATACATGTAAGTTTTTGAAAATCAGTTAAACCTAGCTTTGATCTTTTTGAACGTAAATATGCAGATTCTTTTTGAACATGTTCCCTCCAGCATCTTTGATATGCAATAGCTGTTTCTTTAATACCGGATTCTTGTAAAACTTGGAGTAATGCTTCCAATCTCTTTTTTCTCTGAACTAAATAATGGTCAAGTTCTCTATAGTAATGTTGGAAAAAGTTATCTAAAATTTTAATTCTTTCTTTTAATTGAGGCGAGATCTTTTCATCTAGAGAGCTAAATGTTGATTTGGAATTGATAGAGAATATATTGTTATATGAATTTAATGAGGCAGATAATGATTTTGGTGGAGTTGATGAGTATTGACCTAAATGATCAGTTGCTGGTGAATTTGATTCAAAATTGAAATCATGGTCATTTGATGGTGAGTTAATAAAATCGATTTCAACACTAAGGCCAGTTGTGTAGGTACCTTTTTTCATTTTCGATACGGGTGATACAGATAAAAATTTACAATTTGGTGACCAACTTGAGCTAACCATTTGTGTAGAGTTAAAGTTAATGGAACCATTTAAATTGTTTGATGCACTACCAAAACTAGATTGTGATACATAAGTTAAAAGAGATGGATTACTCTTTTCATCATGGATAATGACCTCTTGGGCGACTTCTAATAAATAAAACTTTTTAATACGAACTAATGTTAATGGTTTATCATCCTCTAAATAATCGTAAGGATTAACAGAGCAGCAAAGCTTTAATAGTTGTGGGTCTTTGTCCATTTTATTTGCGATACTATCAACAATTTCTTTGGCAGTTGTATTAGTACCAATGATTTGAGTCCAATAATTTGCAAATGTTTGAGGGTTACATTTAGTTATTGATGATGAAATTGAAAAACGATGATTGGTGAATGGAAGTGTTGGAAGTGGTGGTAAATTTGAAAGAGATGATGATTCTTCAGATATTTTTGAAAATGGATTATCAGAATCACTATTTCCATCACCTAATGGAACATAATAGATTCTAATCATTGAGCTAACTGGTGATAAACAATCTGGGGAAACATCTGGTGAGTTAAATCCATGTGATGGGGGTGGTGATGAAGGTGCTGCTGTTACCCATTTACTAACAGATTGGGTTCTTTGTATTGGTAGATTATTTAATTGTTGTAAATTACTTGGTAGAGTTGTTGTTGTAGTTGTTGAGGTTGTATTTATTATATTGTTATTAATATTATTTTCCTTTTCTTTATCGGCAATATAGTTATCAATGTCATTATCATTATTATTATCATTATCATTATCGCTATCGCTATCGGTATTACTATTATTGTTATTATCTCCACTACTATGTTTCTTTTTAAGGTTTAAACTACCATCGGATTGATGATGCTCTATTTGCGATGGTCTATCAATTGTGGAGTCAGATTTTAAGCCATATGGTACACTTTTTGAAACACCCCATAAGTGATGAGTGCCAATTCTTGGATTTATATTATTTAAACTTTTATTGTGTTGTAAAGTAATATTATGGGGTTCAAACGAATTGAAAATATCATTACCACTGCTATTTAAATCTTCACTACTATTACTTGCAGATTTTGAAATACCACTATTTCTGGAGAGTTTTCCTCTTGATGGTGACCAAGTATATTTCTTTTCTTCCCCTACACTGACTGATGCGGTTGGTTTATTTCCCATTACATTTAAAATGTTCAATGCTGTTGGGGTTGTCGGGGTATTGAATGTATTTGTACCAGAGTTGAGTTCATTCTTTAAACTGTTACTACCGACACTATGACTATGGTGATGGCCATGGTGATGTAGATTATGATGATGATTATTTAAATTACATGTTATTATTGGAATTGGTGAAGAGGTTGAGGGGTTTAAGCCTCTAATGGTTGGTGTTAAACTTGGGTCATAATTTTCATCTTGAAATCCTGATATTATACTGTTACTACTCTTTTTTATATTACAATCACTATTTATATCATTAAATATTAAATCACCACTATTGTTTAAATTGCTATTACTACTATTACAATGTATTACAGTATTACTACTTGTATTTAAATAATATTCTAATAAAGTTGGAGAATTGACAGTCGTATTACTATTGCTACTATTATTTAATTCACCAATGCTATTATTATTTGTACTATTATTATTTAAATTATTATCAATATTTATTATATTATTATTGTTATTAATTATATTTAATTCATCATCTTCATTAATTGTATTGATTTCATTATCCTTCTCATCATCATTTATTATTTCAATTTCGTTTTTAATGTTAATTGGTAATGGCTCTGGTGAAGTATTCGAAGAGTTATTTGTTGTTTTATTTAGTTGCTGTTGTTGTTGTTGTTGGGTAAAGTTTTCTAAAAGGTCATTATAAATTAATTTTCTGAGGTCACACGATTTTGTATTTGTTACTCTTTCATGCTTAGTACTATTACACTTTAAAGAAAGTTGGTCACAACTGATACTATTATTTAATTGTATTGAAGAGTTCAATGATCTATTAAAACGATTCTTTCTTTCGAAATTATAATTTGATGAACTGTGTACCATTGATTTTCTTCTCCAAAAACTACTTCCTTTATAATTTTTATGTCTTTCTCGAATGTTGTTATTATTTTGATTATTATTATTATTATTATTATTGTTATTACTATTATTATTACTTTCTTTTGAGAATAATGATAAAATTGCAAAAATTGAAAATTTCTTTTTTCCAGCCGAAGGTGATGAAACTGGACTTATATTTGGTGTTGCATTTTGGCTATTATATGTACTTGAAATATTTGGTGAATATAAACCACTACTGTTGCTGCTTGAATCATTATATTGGTCATTGGTAAGTATTGTGGTTTGTAATAAATATGTTGAGTTATTATTTATATTATTATTAAAATGACTATTAACATTATTATTGTTATTTATATAATTATCTAATATTATTGGGCTGGGTATTTTCTTTTCTTTTTTCTTAGAAGTAAATAATTGACCAAAAAATGATTTTCTATTGTTTACTTTATCGTTTTGTGTTGATACATTGGTATCTTGTTCAAATATTGGTTCAATAATGTTTAATGAATATCTTTGTTGTAAATTACTATTATTAATTTGTTGGTTATTACTTTTTACAAAACATGATTGGCGTGCTGCATTTTTATTTGTTTTAAAATTATTACTGTTGTAATTATTATTGTTGTTATTAATATTATTGCCATTATTGAGTAAGTCTTCACTATTATTATTTTCATCATATTCATTATCGTTATTATCTGTGTTTTCTAAAGTGTTATTTAAAGGAATAAATGATTCTTCCATTAATATTTCTTCTTCACCTATTTCCATTTTAAAAATTGATGCTTCCATTTTAAACTACTATTATAAAAATTATTACTATTATAAATATATTTATTGAGTTATGTTATAAATATTTGATGATAATAATTTATTTATGTGATTTAATATGACATTATAATTTATTTTTTATTAAAAAAAATAAATAAAAAAATTAAAAATTTGGTTTTATAAATCTAAAGGAAAAAATACATAGAGTTAGTATTATGATTTTAGTGTACCAAAAATAAAACAAAGAATATATAAAAAAAAAAACAAAAAAAAAAAGAGAAAAAAACAAAAAAAAACAGTTTTGAAAAAAAAAAAAAAAAAGCTAAATATAACCATTACAAAATCATATAAAAATAAATTTCTTTAACATTACTCTACTATTATTACTACAACTACAATAATACAACTATTATTACAATTTATTAATTAATCTATATTATTTTTATATCTAAACTTTTTTTTTTTTTTTTTTTTTATAATACAATTTAAAATAAATAAATAAATAAATAAAATTAAAAAAATTAAAAATAAAATTGAATGAAAGTTTTATGTTTTAAATAATTTTACCACCCCCAAATAAAACCCCCAAAAAAAAAATAAATAAAAAAAAAAAAAAAAAAAAAACTTCTTTAAATTATTATAAAAATAATAATACTAATATTAATAATAATATAATAATAACAAAAATAAAATTTATTTTTATAGTGAGTGATTGTTTTTATATCACACATTTATATCAAAACACACACTCACACACAAAAAAATAAAAATAAAAAAATTTAATTAAATTTTTTTTTTA